GCCCATACCCTGACTCCCTACTCCAAGCAAAATCAAGGACCAACCACTAAGGCTAAGCTACAGTAGGGGCCACAATTCCTTGGTATCTTATCAAAGCTCTGTTGGGATATTTATTCCTTCAAAATCTTTGTTTTATTGTCTTTTCCCCTTCCACTGCACTTTTTTTTTTTTTTTTGCCAGTCCTAGGGATTGAACTATGGGGCCTAGGCTCTGTTCCTGAGCTTCTTTTTGCTCAAGGCTAGCACTCTACCACTAGAGCCACAGTGCCACAGTGGCTTTTTTGACTAGTTTATTGGGGATAAGAGTCTTATGTTATGGACTTTCCTGCCTGACTGGCTTCGAACCATGATCCTTAGATCTCAGCCTCCTAAGAAGCTAGGATTACAGGCATAAGCCACTGGCACCCGGTTTCTCCTTTTCTTTACTATCCTTGCTCTCTTTTATTAATATTCTTTTATTTATTTGCAGTTATGAGAGGGTTTGAACTCAGAGCCTCGCCCTTGCTAGGCAAGAATTCTGCTACTTGGAAGTGGCGCTGTAGCTCAAGTGGTAGAGCGCTCGCCTTGAGCTGAAGAGCTGAGGGACAGCGCCCAGGCCCAGAGTTCAGGCCGCACTACTGGACCCCCCCCCCCCCCAAAAAAAAAGAATTTCATGGAAAGCTGGGCACCAGTGACTCACACCTGTAATATTAGCTACTCAGGAGGCTGAGATCTGAGGATTGCAGTTCAAAGCCAACCCAGGCAGGAAAATGTGTGACTCTTATCTCCAATAAACCATTCAGAAAACCAGAAGTGGCACAGTGGCAAAGTGGTAGAGCACTAGTCTTGAGCTGAAGAGCTGAAGGACAGCATTCAGGCCCAGTTCAAGCCCCATGAACAACAAAAAATAATTTCATGGACTTTTCTGCCCAGGCTGGCTTCAAACCACGATCTTCACATCTCAGAGTCCTGAGTAGCTAATGTTACAGGTGTGAGCCACCAGCTACTGGCAGGTCTTTTTTTTTTTTTTTTTTTAAGAGTTCTAGACAGTCCCCCTGCCCTTGCTTTTATTGTGGTTCCTAAGAATTCAAGTCTTCTTAGCCAAGACCATCATCTTCAATTAATGATGATTTCAAGAGGAAAAAAAAAAAATCAACTTTTATCTAAAGCAAGGGAAGTATATTCTATGTTTTTTGTAACAAGTGGACTGATTTTTCCAAAGCACTTGTATGTTTCAACTCCCACCTTAACTTCCCTAAAGGATCAACAGAAATGACCTAATCTAACATTTCTCAGTAACTTACCCCACCCCAACTACAAACACCTTCATCCTATTTCATTGTATGTGTCAGGGATCTTCCTTCTCACCCCATTCCTTATTTGATCAGATTCCCTCTGCAAGTGCTCTACCAGGGACACAGCCTCCTCAATGGTTTTTGGATGGTACTTCTGTATCCGAGTCTGCATCTCCCTTGGGAGAATGGACAGGAACTGCTCTAACACTAGTAGTTCCAAGATCTGCTCTTTGGAGTGCACTTCTGGTCTTAGCCAAAGATGGCATAATTCTTGAAGCTGGCTGACAGCCTCACGGGGTCCTGATGCTTTGTGATAATCAAAATTCCTGAAGTGCCAACAAGAGTTCCTGTGTCTGAGACTGTCTCTCTGTGAAGAAGACACTTTACTTTGACTGGAGTGCTCTGTCACAGGCTCGTTGGTCTCCCACAGAGCCTTGACATGAGGGTTCAAATACTCAATCTTCAGATCTACCATCACCATTTTGCTGTAGCAAGTTTTGCTCCTATGTCTGACACCTCAGTGGCGCCACCTTTGGCCACCAAGCTCCTGTCTGGTGTGGTACAGAAGAAGTGAGTGAAAATATCTTCTTCCTAAAGACACCAAGGGGAGAAAAAAAAGCACATGTTAATAAAGTCACATGAACCATAATAATTGTTACATAATTATGAGAGAAAAATAAGCAGAAAAGGTCCCAGCTTGCTTTCTCATTTAAAATCAACTGCCAGAGCAAAGCACCAGTGACTCATGCCTGTAATCCTACTTACTCAGGAGGCTGATAGCTGGGGATGGAGACTTGAAGCCAACCTGAGCATCAAAGTCCATGAGACTTACTTCCAATTAAGCACCAAAAAGCTGCAAGTGGAGCTGTGGCTCAAGTGGTAGAGCACCAACCTTGAGTGAAAAAGCTAAGGAAACAGACCTGAGCTTAAGCTTCAATAAGAGTAGGGGAATGGGGGAGTCAATTGCCAGGCCTTTTCTTCTCTCCTTTCTGCCACTCAAAGTAAAACACAGCTAAGAGAAGGAAAAATGTCAATAGATAACATTGCTATTAAAAAAAAAAAAAAAAAAAGCTAACTCAGGAAAGGCAGGCAATAGAAAAAAATCAGCACCAACAAGTTGAAAGGAGTGTGAAAGCTCCACATACAAGTGATTTGTGTGTTTCCTATCCCATTCTCCCCATAAGAAAAAAAGCAGGAGAAAATAACAATATATTCTTAGTTTCTCTTCAACTTTAACTGCTCACCCCAATCTGAGTTTAGGAAGTGTTCAACTTCCGCAACCCTTCTGGCACTTTCCACTGTATGAACAATGGCAAAGAACGAAGACCCCGTGAGCCAACACAGAAAAAAAAAAAATAGGGGAAAGTGGGGAAAGTAGCCCCATTCTTCTCAAGGTCTCTTCGCCGGGCAAGCCAGAGGCTCCCCTTTCTTTGCAAGAACATTTATGCAGAATTTTACATGTCTGCTTAATTGGACTAGAAAAAAAATCACAACTGACTTGTTAAAGCGGAGTGGGAGCCGGTGGGGAGGCCGGGCCTGACGCCCCACCTCCCGGGCGTCAGAGGCTCGGGAGCGTCGCGGGCCTCACTTTCTCCCCCGGGGAACCGAGGTTTCGCCCGGGTGCCGCAGGCATTCGGAGACGCCGGCTGCCGGCTGCCCGCCCGGGCGGGGCACCGCGACCTGGGGGCGGAGGCCGCGCGGCCCCGGCCGCCCCGGCCCGGCTCCCGCCCGCCGGCCCCGCTGCCTCCCCGCGTCCGGCCGCCGAAGGGCTACCTCAGACAGCTCGGCTTCCGCGGACGCCGCTGCCGGCTTCTCGGGCTCACTGGCGAGCCTCCCGCACCGGCCGCCGGCGAGCCGGCGAGCGAAGCCCCGCGGACGCGGGCACGCTCCAGACCCCGGCCGACCGCGAACGCTCGCGGCCTGCGGGTCGCCGTTCCAGCCCGCGCGCAGCCGGCCGGAAGTGACGTCGCGCTACCTGCCCTGAGCGCGCGCACACACGCACCCCCCCGCCCCTTCTGCCTGGCGGGCGGGGGACTGTACACCACCGAGTCTCCGAGCCCGCCGAAGCCTAGAGGGGCCCTGCGGCCGCAACGCCGCGGTCCCCGCTCTGGAGGCGTCGCTCGCCGGCGGCCTCCTCCTCCTCCTCCCTTCTTCCTCCTCTCCGGGAAAGCGCGCTTTCCTCCCGATCCTCTCGTTTCCACGCGAACGTGGCTTCCCCTGTGGACAGATTGCCCGCGCCGCACGGGCCGCCCCAGGCCGCTGCTCGGAGGGAGTGCGGGGCCTGCGCTGCCCCCCTTCCCTCCCCCCCCTGTCTCCCTGCCTGCGCTGCCCCCTCCCTCCCCCCCCCGCTTCCCTCCCCCCGCCTCCCTCCCCCCCCCGCCTCCCTGCCTGCGCTGCCCCCCCTCCCCCCCCCGCCTCCCTGCCTGCGCTGCCCCCCCTCCCCCCCCCGCCTCCCTGCCTGCGCTGCCCCCTCCCTCCCCCCTCCCTGCCTGCGCTGCCCCCTCCCTCCCCCCCTGCCTGCGCTGCCTCCCCTCCCCCCCCCCCCGCCTCCCTGCCTGCGCTGCCCCCTCCCTCCCCCCCGCCTCCCTCCCCCCCGCCTCCCTGCCTGCGCTGCCCCCCCTCCCCCCCGCCTCCCTGCCTGCGCTGCCCCCTCCCTCCCCCCTCCCTGCCTGCGCTGCCCCCTCCCTCCCCCCCTGCCTGCGCTGCCTCCCCTCCCCCCCCCCCGCCTCCCTGCCTGCGCTGCCCCCTCCCTCCCCCCTCCCTGCCTGCGCTGCCCCCTCCCTCCCCCCCTGCCTGCGCTGCCTCCCCTCCCCCCCCCCCCCCCCGCCTCCCTGCCTGCGCTGCCCCCTCCCTCCCCCCTCCCTGCCTGCGCTGCCCCCTCCCTCCCCCCCCTGCCTGCGCTGCCCCCCCTCCCCCCCCGCCTCCCTGCCTGCGCTGCCCCCTCCCTCCCCCCTCCCTGCCTGCGCTGCCCCCTCCCTCCCCCCCTGCCTGCGCTGCCTCCCCTCCCCCCCCCCGCCTCCCTGCCTGCGCTGCCCCCCTCCCTCCCCCCCGCCTCCCTCCCCCCCCCCGCCTCCCTGCCTGCGCTGCCCCCTCCCTCCCCCCTCCCTGCCTGCGCTGCCCCCTCCCTCCCCCCTCCCTGCCTGCGCTGCCCCCCTCCCCCCGCCTCCCTGCCTGCGCTGCCCCCCTCCCTCCCCCCTCCCTGCCTGCGCTGCCCCCCCTCCCCCCCTGCCTGCACTGCCCCCCTCCCTCCCCCCCCGCCTCCCTGCCTGCGCTGCCCCCCTCCCTCCCCCCCACCGCCTCCCTGCCTGCGCTGCCCCCCTCCCTCCCCCCCCCGCCTGCGCTGCCCCCCCTCCCTCCCCTCCCTGCCTGCGCTGCCCCCCTCCCCCCCGCCTGTGCTGCCCCCCTCCCTTCCCTCCCACCGCCTCCCTGCCTGCGCTGCCCCCCTCCCCCCGCCTGTGCTGCCCCCCTCCCTCCCCCCCGCCTGCGCTGCCCCCCCTCCCTCCCCCCCCCCCGCCTGTGCTGCCCCCCTCCCTTCCCCCCCACCGCCTCCCTGCCTGCGCTGCCCCCCTCCCTCCCCTCCCTGCCTGCGCTGCCCCCCCTTCTCCCCCCTCCCGCCTCCCTGACCAGGTTAAGCGCTCCTATTTTAAGACATTTGTGAGGTAGTGGTACAGAGCGGGCAGCCCCCTCCCCCGACCCCCTGCCACCCAGCCATGAAGACGCACACGCGTTTCCTAGAGATGTTTATTACTATCCAAACATTTTCAACAAGAAAAAGACCTCTCAAGTTTTCTAGGATTTATAGTTTAAATATTTCCCAGGGAATCCATCTCTAATGGAACCCTCCAACCAGGATCAAGATTCAGATTTTTTTGGACACAAGTGAGAGATCTGTCTCTGCACGGGTAGACTACACATACATTTCATCTGTCAACTCCTAGGCTCGCCTGCAAGTTCTAGTTTACAGTTTCTCTTAGGTCTCTGATTCCTTCATGTTTGAGGTCACACACGTGTGACAAGCGTGTATAGCACTTCTGTCAGCCACTGGGGGGCTATGGTGGCTGATTATCCAACCAGCTGGAAAGCACATTTTCCCAAGACCTCACAACTGGCTTTCCAGTTGGATCCTTCAAGAGAACTGCCATTTAGAACTAATCATCTTGGTCTTGAGCTAGTTTACCAGACTTTGGTCTCTATAGAGCCTTAGGGAGTCCAAATGCTCTTGTTTAACGTCCCAAATGAGGAAGAAGATATGGATTGCCAAGACTGTTGGAATAAGCATTGAACCATAAGATACCCAAACCATACCTTGGTTAAATCCCCCGAGAAGGTGTGTGTGCTTTGGACTTCAAAGTGGCCCTAAGCAGTTCACTTCAAATCTCACATACTTCCTATTGCAGCCTGAACTCCTTTTTATGATAATCCTTTGCTGCCTCTGCACTCCTTCAAAAGAAGCCTGAATTACCTCATTAATTACCTGGGCAAACAATGTCAGCTCTTAATAAAAGAGCCCTCTGAATATACCATCTAATCTAGGGCAAAGGGATAGATATCCCATTGTTTCTAACCAGTGTGAGTTCTCTGATGACTCATAAGACGTGAACTCCGAGAGAAGTTTTCTCCACACTCAGTACACTTGTATGGTCTCTCTCCTGTGTGTGTTCTCAAGTGACGAATCCGGTTGGAGCTATGTGAGAAACTGTCTCCACATTCGTGACAGGTATAGGGTTTTTCTCCTGTGTGAATTCTCTGATGCCTGATTAAGTTGGATCTGTGAGAGAAGTTTTCCCCGCAGAGGGTACATTTATATGGTTTCTCTCCTGTGTGGGTTCTCTGGTGTCTGGTAAGGTGCATACCCTGCCGGAAGCTTTTCCCACAAGTCAAGCATTCAAAAAGTTTCTTCTCCACTCTGTGGGGTGCATGGTTTGCAAGAAAGGGGGCGCTGTCGTTCCTCATGCCCTCTCCACACTCAGAGAAGGGGTCAAGTCTCTCTTTCTCATGGGTTCTTTCATGAATGACAAGGTGGGAACTCCGAGAGAAACTTTTCCCACACTCAGCACACTTATAAGGCCTTTCTCCAGTGTGGATCCTTTGGTGGCGCAGGAGGTTGGAGCTGTGAGCAAAGATCTCCCCACACTCGAGACACTTGTATGGCTTTTCCCCGGTGTGTGTCCTCTGGTGCCTGTGAAGGTTGGAGTTGCAGGAGAAGCTTTTTCCACACACATTGCACTGATACGGCTTCTCACCTGTGTGGGTGCGCTGGTGGCGAGTCAGGTGGGTGTTCTGACTAAAGCACTTTCCACATTCAAGGCACTTATGAGCCTCCTCTCCCAGGTGTCCTCTGTGTAGTGACAGAAAATGTGGGTGCCCACCAAAGATTTCACCGCACTCCACATCCATGCACAGTCTTTCTGCCGCATGTATTCTCTGATGCCTGATTAGGTTTGAGTTGTTAGAGAAATTTTTGCCACACAAGGGACACAAATGGAGTTTCTTTGGCTGCAGTTCTTTTGTTTGTCCCAGGCCTCTGCAACTTGTGGCTCCCACTAAGGACTGTTCCATTCTGTCCTCTAGGGGAGAGTCCCAATGCCCTTCAGCCCTGTCCAGAGATCTTCCCCAGGGCATCTCCCCTCGGGCCTGGCCAGGGAGAAGTGCCTGGGACTGGGTGTTTTCAGGACAAACAGACTGAGCACTTACATCTGGATCCTCAAACTTCTCTTCCCCTGCTAGAGAGAAAACACAAACTTCTACATGATTTCTACTTTGGAGAAAAGAAAATCCTACATGCCTTTCAGGTCAGAGGCCCTAACAGGATAGACGTACTTCAGTTTTCCACTCCTACATAAAGCACTCCACAGAAGCACATGGATAAGAGGTGGGACTACTGCTCAAGGAATCAAACTTGGTCTAGTTTTAGAATTTCCTTCTTAGAGCTTCCAACCCCTTTCCAACTGTGCCTCCAGCTACTCTGAACCCAAGAGTAAGTGCCTCCTCCAAGTTTGAACCCTGGGTTCCTCATGGGATGGAAAGTGGGTAGGGGAGACACAGAAGCCATGCATCTTCATGGCAGTGATGGTGCATTGGGCCAGTACCCAACTCCTCAAAACCCTTACACTCCAACTTGCTGGGCAGTTGTCCCTTCTCGTTCTTTACCTGGAGTTGGGCTTCGGGAACTCATGCCTTCCTTGCAACCCTGGATGCTGGGATCCCATGGCTTCCCATCTTGTTCCATTTGAGTGCTCAAAGCCTCCTGATTGGGAATGCACGCCTCTGTCCACAATAGAAGAAACAGATTGCTCTATCAACTGATCTCTTTTATCCGGCAAGGGGAACAGAGCCTTGTTCTCTGTTCTCAATGGGAAGGAACAGAATTCTTGGTAAGTCTGAAACAAATTACTTAAAATATACACTAAACTATTCCCAGTGATTACCGCTAAAGAAACTGAGTTTGTTTTTGTTTAACAACTACAAAGCATTGGGATTTGAGAGAAAACCTGGAAGTGGTCCCTATTAAGGGAAACAAAAGCCAGCACTAACTGTTGTGCAGAATTAATGAAAATAAGTTCATGGCTGTGATTGTCTTTATATGAACCTGGTGAAAATGAATTGCAGTAATAATCTTTGATTGATATATGTTTCAACATACTCAGTCATACTATACTCAAAATCTCATTTTAAGACTTCCCTCAACTTTCTGGGAATTTTCATATAATCAGAAAAGCTGTCCTGTATATTTTCCACCTAAATGTACCTATCGCTTTTTCCTATTTGACAGCATCTTTTTTATTTTTTTGTGCTGAGCTTGAGGCTTCAACTCAGGGCCTGGGAGCTATCCCTGAGCTTTTCTGCTTAAGGCTAGCAATCGGCCACATAAGCCACCACTCCACTTCCAGATTTTTATGGTGGTTAACTGGAGATAAAAGACAATCCTGAAGGGATGGGAAGGTGGCTCAGTGGTAGAGCATTTGCCTTGCATGCATGAGGCCCTGGGTTCAATTCCTCAGCACCACATAAGCAAAAAAGTAAAAAGCCAGAAGTGGCACTGTGGCTCAAGTGGTAGAGAGCTAGCCTTGAGCTGAAGAGCTGAGGGACAGCGCCCAGGCCCAGAGTTCAGGCCCCATGACTGGACCCAAAAAAAAAGACAATTCTGGAAAACCCAAGTATGTGTGTGTAGACAAGAGGTCGCAGATCTTCAGTTGCTCTTTGAAATCCAATATAGTTCAGACTCTGCCTAAGGATCTGGAAGCTAGAGTTTAAGTATAGGGCTGCGTGCAATGAATCAACTGTTCCCCTGGGAAGATATTTAGCTGACCTCATGTGGATAACTTTAAACCAACAGAGTAGAATCGACTGTGGTTAATTTCTTGGGAAAACTCAGCTTATGGCTGGGAGGTGGAGTCCAAGCCACGGGGCTCTGGTCAGAAATGGCAGTTATCAACAATGACAAAAATGTCCTTATAAGCCAGGTGCCAGTGGCTCACGCCTGTAATCCTAGCTACTCAGGAGGCTGAGATATGAGGATCACAGTTCAAACCCAGCCTGGGAAGAAAAGTCCATGAGACTTATCTCCAGTAAACCACTAGAAAACTGAAGTGGTACTGTGGCTCAAGTGGTAGAGTGCTAACCTTGAGCTGAAGAGCTGAGGGACAGCGCCCAGGCCCAGAGTTCAAGCCCCCACAACCAACAACAACAACAATGTCCCTACCTAGTGAGTCCATGTTTTCATAACTCTCCTGTCCTGTGTCCCTGGAGAGGGCTTTCTTACGAGGATCCTGATGGCCCCACTCTTCCTGGGAGATGTACACTGCCATGTCCTCTAAGCTCTCAGGCAACTGAAATAACACAGGACCTCGGTTAGCCCACAGGCACCATGAACAAGTCAAACAGAATCAGGGGTTAAATAGGCAAAACCTAAGAGTGCCAAAGGGGCTGGGAATGTGGCCTAGTGGTATAGAGTGCTTGCCTAGCATTCATGAAGCCTTGAGTTCAAGTCCTCAGCATCACATACACAGAAAAAGCCAAAGTGGAGTTGTGGCTCAAGTGGTAGAGTGGTATCCTTGAGCAAAAGAAGCTCAGAGACAGTGCCCAGGCTATGAGTTCAAGCCACAGGACTGGCAAAAAAATAATTAAAAAAAAGAGTGCCAAAGACATATGTCATGAGGAAGAGGGCTCCAGGCCTACATGTTGGAGGTAAGACAAAGAAAGTGAGGGAGACATTTGATCACAGAGAAAAAAGTCATCCAAGTGCCAGAAGGACCCCACCCCAAAAGCATTACAAAGAGAAAGAAGGACAATAGGGAGAGACAACAGGAACTTTCACATCACCTGGGGCCCGGTCATCTCCTTGTCTTCCACATTCCCTTCAGCAGGAAAGAGAGAAAGCCAGGGAGCGGACAAGGCTGAAGGTGATAGAAATCAGAATGAGAATAGCATTCCCAAACTTTGACAACTCGTGGATAATTACATCACAGTATGCATTCCCTAATGCTCAACCTCTCATTTTAGGACTAAACACAAGGTGTTTAACAGGCATAATAAATATCCAAATTGACAGGATCAGAGTAAAGGAGTGCAAGTCTCCTGTGCTGGCAGCAGCAGTCCAGCCCCCCACCTGTTTTGTGTACAAAAGAGCTCTACATAAGACATCCCCTCCTCTCTATTGTTCAACCCCAGTATACCACTTCGAGATCTTTCCTAACACATCTGAGAACCTCAGCTTCAGAAATTCTCTTTGGCATCTGTGCTACATCCTAATAATGTCAGTGACAAGCCCAAAGCCCCTCCTTCCTCCCACCTGCCCAGATAACTGTTCCTCACCCCTCTCCTTTACAGCCTGGGGGTCCCTTTTGGGGCTGGGATCTAGCAGCTCCTGCAGCCTGGGGCCAGGGCTTCGCTCAGTCTCTATTGGCTCAAGCTTGAAGCTCGATGAATCTCCTGCTGCTTCCAGTGGCAAAGGCTCCTCCAAAAGCACTTCTGCTCCCCGCCCTTGGTTTGTGACCTGGGAACCAACCACATCACTCATCATCACAACGGGGTCCACAGAAAATGGAAATTAGTACTGGATTCTGAGGGCAAGCCTTCAGCAGAGAAATGCACACCATCTCTTTGGACTCAGCAGGAGAGGGGGATGGTATACACTAAAGTTTTTGGTTTTTTTCCAAGAGTGTCAGACAAAGTGGGAAGAGGGATGGGGAAGGATAAAGGGGAAAGGTCCACTCCCAGTGTACATCTTCCCTGTACTCTTTCGATGTTCCTCACTCTTTAGTTGTCCTTTGTCTTTTCTAGAAGTTTCTATTCTTCACTACTAGAAAATCTACCCGAGGAGCAGTGACCTCAGAGCATCAGTTTTACATCATTTTTCAACGTTCAATTAATGGGGATGCAGCTCTGCAAAGAAGATCACACAGTTGGCCTTAATATAATAAAAATATTAAGCACTAATTAAAAACCAGCAGTGTCATCCCTGTAAACCTCAAAACAGCCCCATTTTACCATCTTCATTTTACCAGTGAGAAAACAGATCCAAAGTGATCAAGTAACTGCCCCCAGTCAAATGCTAGTGCAGACTTGAACCCGGGCAATCTAATTCCAGGGCTAACAACTATTTCCAAACACTGCCTCGGGTGAAAACGGCACATTCTTCACGGTTCACTGTTCATATGGGGATAATCTGGAGGAAAAACAAGGCAGATTAAACCACAAAAAAAAAAAAAAGCCCTCTTCCCCCAACTACTACTCCGGGCAACCTAGTATAAGCAACTGGAGAACTAGGTCAGCGCGAAGTCTTAGTTCTCGGGGCCAAACGGAAGTTAAAACAGCTTCCTCTCTCGCTCGCTCACCTGCTGCCTCAGTCTTCCAACCTTTCTCTGCAAGTCCTCCACAAGTGTCACCGCTTCTTCGCCGCTCTCTGGATGCAGCTCCTGCACCCTGCCCTTGATCTCTTGGGGCAGGATGGTCAGGAACTGCTCCAGCACCAGGAGTTCCAGGATCTGCTCCTTGGTGCGGAGCTCAGGCCGCAGCCACCCATGGCAAAGTTCCTGAAGCCGGCTGAGGGCTTCCCGGGGACCGGCGGCCTCTTGGAAACGGAAGCGTCGGAAGAGCAGGTGGGAGGCCTCTGGGCTCGGCCCGGGGTCAGGAGGGGGCAGCTCCTGGCTCCAGGCGCAGTCCTCCTCCAGTTTGACTATCAGGAGCCCTTCCTGGCCCGCAACCGAAGCCATCGTCATAACCCCAGAAAGCCTTGGCCCCAAACCAGCTGCGCCCCTCTTGGAAGGAGCTCTGGGCACCGAGCAAGAACGGGCCGCGCGGCAGGAGCCTAGGGGTTCTGGACTCCAAATCCGGGGCGGAAAAAAAGAAGCCCGGCTCCGAGCCGCGGCCTGCGTGGGTCCCGGGCGCGGCGGTATCAGCCACTAGCGGACCCACGCAGGACTCAGCTCCTGCGGCGGAAGTTTCCGCGCGCAGGTTTAGGCGTCACAAGTCAACAGCGACTGTTCGAGACCGACTTCCGGTTCCCGGCTCCCATTCTCCAGCTCCCATTGGGTCAGAGCCTGCCAGACTCGACCCCGACCAATTACAAGGGGCGACTTGCCTTAAGGGGCGGGACGAGAGGGTAGCCAAATAGTCACCGAGGTGGGGCGGCCGGACGAGACCGACCTTTGCGATTCCCTTCGGCGTGAAGCGGGGACGCTGTAACACGCTCCGCGGAGAAACCTTTTGTCGAGGACCCCAGCCCGCAACCTAACTATGGCCGGTCTGGGAACGGTCGCCCCGCCCCTGGGGCCTGCGCAAGGTCTGTCGGGAGATGTAGTCCGGGGCTCGGTGCTGTTTTTGCGCCTGCGCCCCAGGCATTCTCCGCTCGGGATCACTGGTCCATCCCTGGCGAGGAACTCTTGGGGTCCAGCCTGCCCCGAGCCACGTCCCGACCTCCCATCTCAGATCGAGTTTTAAGCTTTGCCCAGGACTGGCCCTGCCCTGGAAGGCGCGGCGGTGCCATGTGAGTTTCGTGGTAAGGAACTGAGGGGTGGAAGCCGGGGCACCCCCTGGTTCGGCGAGGCCCCCGGCGGGTGGCCCGCGACCAGGGCCGACGCGGGGCCTCCATCGCCTTCCACGGCGGTCAGGGCACGGCCTCTGCAGACGTCCAGATCGCTCGTGGGGCGAGACCTGCTGCGCACCGGCCGCCGCGCCCTCCTCCCCGCGGGGGTCGGGCGCGGCGGGTCGGGCTCTTCCCTGCCACCTCCCGCTGTTGGCTCTCGATACTTCCCCGTGTCCTTCCTCCTCCCCGGGACGCTGGGCCGCCGCACCGGAGCGCCTAGCGCGCGCGCGCCGGGACCGGCAAGTCTGCAGCCCGGGGGTCTGATACCTTCCCGGGCAACCGCTTTCCACCGACGGCTCTGGGTTCCGGAAACTGCTCACTAGACAAAAAAAAAAACCCGGAACAAACGAACAAAACCAAGCCCACGGCGGCCCGGAGGAGACCCCTGCCGCACACACGGTCTCGGCACCTCTGAGCCCCGCGGATCTCACGGCTTCGTGCGGCCACCAGACAAACCGGCTTCCAAACTGGGCTGACCAGCACAGCCCTGCGTTCCCGGCCCCTGGCTGAGATGAGGTTTTACTAACTTTTCACCGGTTGGTTTGAAACCAAGTCTTATTGCTACCTCCTGAGTAGCTGGAGTGACAGGTGTGAGCCACCAGTGCCCAACTACAAGTGACTTTTAAAAATTACCTCTTAGCCAGGCGCCGGTGGCTCACCCTAGCTACTCAGGAGGCTGAGATCTGAGGACCGCGGTTCAAAGCCAGCCCAGGCAGGAAAGGCCGTGAGACTCTTATCTCCAATAAAGCACTAGAAAACTAGTGGCGCTGTGGCTCAAGCTGAAGAGCGCAGGGACAGCGCCCAGGCCCACAACCGACCCAAAAATAAAAATTATCTCTTGGGGCTGGGAATATGGCTTAGTGCCTAGCATGCATGAAGTCCTGGGTTTGGATTCCTCAGTACCACATAAGCAGAAAAAGTCGGAAGTGGTGCTGTGGCTCAAGTGGTAGAGTGCTAGCCTTGAGCAAATGAAGTTCAGAGACGGTGCCTAGGCCCCGAGTTCTAGCCCCAGGACTGAAAAAAAAGGAAATCTCTTGACAGGTGTTGACTCAGGCCTGTAATCCTAGCTACTAAGCAGCTGAGATCTGGGGATGGCGATTTGAAGCCAGCTCTGGCAATGCCATTCCGAGAGACTTATCTCCAATTAACCACCAAAAAGCCATAACCTCTCTTGTTACAAAAATAACAAAGATTTGAAAGAAGGTATGGGTTAAGAGAGATGGGTGACAATGTTGTCAGACACTTTGTACTCATATGCTGTTTTGTAGAATGGGAACTTCTCTGTACAACTACTTAAAAATAATAGAATAAAAAATAATAAAAATTTGTTTAGAAAATAAAATTCCAATTTAGCCAGGTGCTGGTAATGAACGTGGTAGAAAGGAATACCTGTGGATAGCAGAAACAGTCAAAGTGGGAACAGTGCCAGGCGCCAATGGCACACAGTGTAATACTCAGGAAGCCAAGATCTCAGTTAGAAGCCAGCCTGGGCAGGAAACTGTGAGACTCATCTCCAATGAGCCACCAAAAAGCTGAAAGTGAGGCTGGGCTCAAGTGGTAGAACACTGGCCTGGATTAACAACAACAACAAAAGTCAGGTGTAACACCCAAGCTCTGAGTTCAAGACCCAGGACTGGAACAAAAATTGCGAGAATGGGGCTAGAAGGTGGATCAGTGTAAGTGATTGCCCTTGCATGCCTGAGGCCCTGGGTTCAATTCATCAGCACTACATAAGCAGAAAAAGCTGGAATTGGCACTGTGGCTCAACTGGTAGAGGGCTAGCCTTTAGCTGAAGAGCTGAGGGACAGCGCCCAGGCCCTGAGTTCAAGCCCCTCAACTGACAAAAACTGAGCTGTGAATTCTTAGGCACTAAAAGCAGAGAGTTCTTCGTTCTTTGTGTGGCTATGTTGGGTTTACACTCAGCATTCTGGCCCCAATGAAGATCACAATATCTGGTGGCAAAGGAGCAAGAAACAAGAGCTCACTAATGCTCTGTTTTTCTTGTTCAACACAATCCATCATATAAGCTATAATCCTATTCTCACCTTGTTTATAAAGTCCCAGAGCATCAAAAAGTGTTTGTGAGTTTCATTTGACTTTGAAAAGCCCAGTTGCATCAAAACATGGTCTGCAAGTCTCTTGACTCAGAATTGACCCTGTTGCAAACAAAACACGCACACACACACAAACACAAGTTACTGGGATTGCAACATATCCTGTTTTAGCCTGGAAAGCCCCTTCCCCTACCCTATTCTGCTGTAGGTGCTCAGAGGAGTTTCCCAACAAGCCAAGACAGCAGTAGAGCTCCCCAAGAAACTGCAGCACTTTCCATTCACTGCACCCCCTCTGTATTTTTCCATACAGCAGGGGAGGGATTAAGGGGGCAGCTCTCTGAAGCCAAGTACAGGAGTTGCTCCCTGAGACGTCAGTAAACACTGAAGTAATATGAGAATGTACACATCAATCACCACCAAAAACATCTGCATCGAAAGTTTACCCTGTTTTTAGAGGAAACGTGACGTGGGAGGGGGGGGTTAAAGCTGGAAGTTTCAAAACAAAAAACAAACTAAAACCACAACACTCTGTGAACTACCCAGAACAGGACCATGCCAGACATACTTATAATCCCCACAGGGAGGTTAAGGCAGTACCCAAGCACTACAGCAAGACCCTGTCTCAAACAACAACAAAACAAAGCAATTGGACAAAAGGGTAAATTCCACCAACCAGAACATATCAAAGCCTTATTGCACCCCAAGCCCCCCCTCATCTGACTGGTGTCAGGGTGCTTGCTCTAGCTGACCATGAGCATGTCCTCTTCGGACTCCAGTGCTTAGCTGAAAAAGGAGCATACCTGGCTAATGAACAATAAAATGTTATCATACAGAAAGATAACCTGTTATGTCAGGTGTTTTATTTTTTGAAATAAGGGTCTCCCTATGACCCATGCATGCAGGCCTCCAACTCTCAATCCTGCCTCAGCCTCACATAATGGTACCAGGGAATGAACTCCATGCCTAATGTTCTTGCCTTGCTTTCTTATGGCTGCTTCTGCCACTTGAACCACACCTCAACTGCAGCATTTTGATGGTTAATTGAAGATCAAGTCCCAAAGACTTTTCTGCTCAGGCTGACATTGAACTACAACCCTCTAGGTCTCAGCCTCCTGAGTAGCTAGGATTACAGGTATGAGCCATTGGTAGCTGACTGCTGCAAAGATTTTTTTTTTCCAGTCGTGGGACTTGAACTCTGGATGCTGTTCCTCAGTTCTTCAGCTCAAGGCTAGCGCTCTACCACTTGAGCCACAGTGCCACTTCCAGCTTTTTCTGCTTATGTGGTGCTGAGGAATCAAACTTAGGGCCTAATGCATGCAAGGCAACCACTGTACCACTGAGCCACCTTCCAGCCCCCAGCCCCAATTTTTTAAGAGATGTTTATGGAGAAAGCAACACCTGGAGCAGAAGTGCTCTTGATGGATGCCTTATGTCATGCACAAAGCAACATTCTGACAAAAACGTCATGGGACAGGCAGAAAGTTCAAAGCAATACATGGAAAGAAACAGCAGTTTGTCAGTCCACTAGGAAAACTGACTTAGGAAAGGAACACCAATGAATTTTAAAGTTACTAGGTGGAAGGCTGTAGAAGCTGTCACAGGCTTGGATCACTTATTACCGACAAAGAATATGTCCAATTACACTACAGAGATCTTAAGGGCACATCAATGTTACCCACTGCCTAGTTAAAAGGAAACAAGTGTAAAATAATGGATATTCTGCTGTGAACTGTCTTTTAAAAATTAATGTCAGGCTGGGTACTGGTGGCTCATGCCTGTAATCCTAGCTACTCAGGAGGATGAGATCTGAGGATAGCACAGGCTGCCATGTTATTTACAAATAACCACCAAAAAGCTGGAAATGGAGCTCTGGCCCAAGTTGATAAGAGTGCTAGTCTTGAGCAAAGCTCAGGGACAGCTCCTTGGCCCTGAGTTCAAGCCCAGGAATAACACATATACACACACACACACATCAATATCTTTATTAGTCTAGAAATGTTAAAACAATGTTTTCATTTATATAGGCATAAATATGTGAAGTTACAGGCATAAATATGTAGAGTTCTCCAAATAATGAAAAAAAAATCCTTAGTGTCTTAAAAGGGGAAAAAAAGCTGAGAAAATGTGTGACATTTTGTAGTTAACAGAAGAAAATAGAGATTGGACAACTAAAATTAATTCAGAGGAAGTGGCACTGTGGCTCAAAGTAAGAGCACTAGCCTTGAGCCAAAGAGCTCAAGGACAGTGCCCAAGTTCTGAGTTCAAATCCGATAGCCAACAAAAAGAGAGAGAGAGAGAGAGAGAATTCAGTCTCTGGAACAGACTGGAGAAAGGGTATCAATGGAACAGTTGGGGAAATTTGATTACTGACTGATTATTTGATTATGGACTGATTGTTTTATTGTAGAAATGTTACTTTTTTGGCTGTGATAAATATGATTATTTAAAACAATATTGTTGTGTCCTGCCGGGCGCCAGTGGCTCACTCCTGTAATCCTAGCTACACAGGAGGCTGAGAGCTGAGGATCACGGTTCAAAGCCAGCCCAGGCAGGAAACTCCGTGAGACTCTTATCTCCAATAAACCACTAGAAAACAGGAAGTGGTGCTGTGGCTAAAGTGGTAGAGCACTTGCTTTGAGCTGAAGAGCTCAGGGACAGCGCCAAGCCCAGAGTCCAAGCCCTACAACCAACAACAACAACAACAAAATAGTTGTGTCCTTATTGTTAATATCTAGAATTTCTAGGGAATTTGGAGTGATATATTATTATCTTTTTATTTTTCTTAAGGGAAACAAAAATACTATTAAATAGAATCATTTGGTGAATCTAGGTAAAAAGCATTTAAGTATGATTTGTACTATAACTCTCCATTTCCTGTAATTGAAAGTTTTCAAAACAAAGGATTAAAGTTAAAAAAAAAAACACACACACAGATGTGCACACGTACAGTAGTTGAGTAAGGTAGAAGCTGGCTTCCTGTGTGATCTACATCAGCTTTGGAGCCACCTCCAGAGTCCAACCTGGGTTTGGAGTTCTGGGGGACGTGGGTCTTTCTACTCAGGTATCTCCAGCATTCTGCTAAGTACCTACAACATGTGTTCAGAAAATGTGCTCCCAGAAACAAGGGCCTGGTCAGCTGTTGGGATGGACAGATGAAAATGGAGGTCCTGGATACCATGGGACGAGGCGTTTGTGCTGCTGGTGAAGCACACATGGACTGGAACTGTATTAACAAGGGTGTTGCCAAAGCCGGTGTCCTGGTATTCACCTGCTTCTTCTGGAGCAACATGCTTTCTTGAGCAGACTCAGGCAAAGCTTGTGCTAGCTGTCCTTCCTCTTGCCAACAGCCCTGGAGGGTCCATAAGTCCCAAGAATCTAAGAGAAAAAACTTGATGAGAGAAGCTAGCCCTCAGCATGGCTCCATCCCCACTTCCTCCTCCAGATCTGCGTCTGGACTCCAATTCCAGAGCCTCCCTTACAGACTTGCTCATCTCTCTCTTCCAGGCAGAGCTGGGCTTTGGGGAGGGGGGAGGGAGGGGTCATGCAACTGACAAAGCACAG